CATTGATGTTTGTATGTGTAAAATGGCACTGTTGTTGTTGGATAACAAATGTATACCATAATATACAAGGTAAGCAACAAGGCAGAGTTAACATTGTTAGACACTTTAGCTCTGAATTTTGTGACCTATGTAATTTATCAGCCCTAACAATTAATTGAGGTTAGTTTTTTCCATGCACCCGAAGAAGTGGGCTGTAGCCCACGAAAGCTTATGCTCAGATAAATTTGTTAGTCTCTAAGATGCCACAAGTACTCCTGTTCTTTTTGTGGATACAGACTAACACGGCTGCTACTCTGAAATTAGTCATATGTAATCTCTCGGACTACTAATGCCACTTTAATTTGTTCATCCTGTCTAAAATTTCACTGATTTTTAGCCTAAATAGTCTTTGTTTTATCCTTGCATTTTTTTTGTTGCTACACTCCTGGTGTACTTAATTTTCTTCAAGCTACTCTGATGATTGCGCCTTAATTCTGCAAGTGCTTTCCTCCTCTTTGAATTCGGGCTGTTACATGCTGTCCATTTCTTTAGCCTCTTCTTTAAATTTTCTTTCTAGTATGATGTTATTTTGGGTCTGGGAAGCCCATTGGACCACTTCACAGCTCCAACTTCCTCATTGCCACGATCATCTGGTTCACCACTTTGGCTATTCTGTATCTTCTATATAAAATTATCAGTGTTCATGCTATTAAACTATTATCTAGGCCTTCCATACATATCCTCAAAAGGGAGTTTGGCTAACACCAATAGTCCCCCAAATAACTTGAAACTAACTAACTGGGTAGCAAATTTTCACGTAGAGACAATACTATTTCCCTATGCTATGTACCGGGTAGTCAAATCTGCATTGAGTTTTAATGTTGTGATATTGGTGAGATCTCAAACCTTTGGCCTGGCATAGCAGCAGTGATAAGTAGGGCCCTACCAAATTCATGGCCATGGAAATCTAGTCTCCCCCAGGAAATCTGGTTATTGTAAGGGTGTCACAGTATTGCCACCCTTACTTCTGTGCTGCCTTCAGAGATGAATTGCCAGAGCGTGGCGACTCCTGGCCCAGGAACTGGGTTTTGTTCCAGTTCAAGCCACCAAACAAAAATAACGGTTCGATTACTGGTTTGAGCCAGTTCAAATAAAATTTTAGTTTCAGTAGAAATAAATTTAAAAAAGAGTTCAAACTTAAAATGGAAACTCTTTTGAATTTTGACCATTTACTTATTTTTTAACTTTAACTTTACATGCATTTTCCTAGTGGTTTTGCATTGTCAACTAAACAGGTTTTTTTTATGAACAATTTGTTTGAGAGAACTAAAATAATATCTTCTAATATTTGCCCATCCATATTGGATCTTTTCGGTGAAAGGATAAGTTGGGCAACTGGAGGGGGAGCTGCTGCAATGTTGGGGATGGGTGGGAGGAGGCCTGGCTAAGGGGGAGAAGGGTTGGGTAGCCATTAACTCTCTTCAAGTACAAGGAAAAAGGTATTGTTAACTTCTGGGACCAGGGAGCATTCCACATGTTCTCTCCCCAGTGGGAAGTCTCAGAGATGGACCTTCTATCATTCTCTGGATCCACTGCTTCCACATGTGTTGTGCAAGCAGTTCCTAAGCTTCTCATCTTCCTTCCCACTCTTGTAGACCTCATTTTCGTCTTGTTATACTGAGGCATGCCTTCAGGTATGCCTATTTGTTACTTTATAAAACAAGACAACAAGATAAGATCACAGTAGTTTTTTAAATATTAAGCCTAAAAAAAATATGAAACCTTTATTTTAACCAGAAACCCAAATAATTATTTTATAGTTCAAGTTCAGTAGGTAGGACAAATTCATGGTTCAGGTTTGGTTCTAGTTCAAGTAAAAATACTGGTATGAACTGGTTCGTCGGTTCCCATTCGATTCCCTGGCTAGGACTAGATGTTTTGTAATTTCTCCTTAGTCTTTGGACTACCTCGTGCATGATGGCGTGTTAAACATCCTTCTTATTTTAAATTAGCTTCACCACAGTCATTATGTAGGTCCTGTATCATGCTTGCCATCCTTTAGGTTGTGGAAGATGATGGAATTTCCTTTAGAATTAGTTAATATCACTCTTTAATCAGCAGCTTTTATGGAGGTATTTGTTGAAGTAAGTCCTGACTATGAGAGCAGGGACAGACTAGGCTTTGAAGTTGTAAATCTTACTTTTAACCACTTCTTTTAAAATAACTAGAGATTAAAAAAAAAATCAACGTTCAAATGCTGAATTAGCTATATTGTCTGACCTGTTCTACATCATCAACCTGAGCTTCTGCTGAAACTATCAATGCAATGGCTATTAGTGATTAGTGAAACGGATCTTAAAAATCTGTTTTGAATATGAACTAAAATATGACTACTCCAACTTTCCTTTAATTTCGTATATCTTAGTCAATACTGGTATTCTCAAAAGTAGTATATTTGGGAGCCAATTTTGCTTCCATTGTAATCATGTACATTGTTCTGTCACTGCAGATCTCAAAATAACTGTGTTGGAGTCCAGAGAGATAGCTAAATAACAATAAATTTTGAAAGACCATAAAATCCTCGGTATTAAAAATGCAGGAGAAACCGAAGTTGGGAAATCAGTAGATTTTTAGAATGTATGTTTCTTTCTGCCCAAATTTCTTCATAGTTCAGATCACCTGATTAAAAATTAAGTCCCATTCCACATTTTCTTTCCAATGTTTGGTCTTTTTAGAGCAGGGGTCGGCAACATTCGGCACGCGGCTCGCCAGGGTAAGCACCCTGGCGTGCTGGGCCAGTTTTATTTGCCTGCTGACGCGGCAGGTTCAGCCGATCGCGGCCCCCACTGGCCGCAGTTCGCTGTCCCGGGCCAATGGGGGCGGCGAGAAGCCACGGCCACCACATCGCTCGCCCGCGCCGCTTTTCGCTGCCCCCATTGGCCCGGGACGGCGAACCGCGGCCAGTGGGGACCGCGATCGGCCGAACCTGCCGCGTCAGCAGGTAAATAAAACTGGCCCGGCCCGCCAGGGTGCTTACCCTGGCGAGCCACGTGCCGAACGTTGCCGACCCCTGTTTTAGAAGATATATAATTTGCTTACTGCATAGATCTCTGTATACACTTTGGTTTTGGCTTACAATGCATAATAAATGCATATATTTTCCCTTAATATATTTAAATCTGTAGGGGACGTAATCAACCTTGGTGACCGACAACTGACTGTCATGCATATGCCTGGTCATTCAAGAGGAAGTATTTGCTTACACGACAGAGATCAGAAGATATTGTTCAGCGGAGATGTTGTTTATGATGGATCGATGATTGACTGGCTTCCCTACAGCAAGATAAGTGATTATGTCACAAGTTGTGAGCGTCTTATAGAATTAGTGGACAGAGGTCTTGTGGAGAAGGTGCTTCCAGGGCATTTTAACACCTTTGGAGCTGAAAGGCTATATCGTTTAGCTTCCAACTACATTTCAAAAGCTGGAGTTTGTCACAAAGTTTCTACCTGTGCCATGAGGTCCATTGCAAGTTTAGCTCTTCATGTGACAAATTCTAGAGGCACCTCTTAGTGTCGGTTGATTTTGTCAATATCAAACCAAACTATTGTAAAACCAAATGGCTTGTGAGCTAGTGTTGATAGAAAGCAAACAAAAGCAGTGTGTATTGTTAAAGAAAAGGCAGACTGATAATGAATGAGTCATAAAGATTCTTATTTTTTGCTTGCTTTTTTATTTTATAAAATTAACTTCAGCTATAGCTATGCAAAAGCTACTATCTATCTTTTCTTTCTGTTTTTCAAGGCATGTTTGCACATGATTTATGAATGCCATTAGACTGCAGTTTGAAATATATTGTTTTATTTTTGATATTATTCTGATGGATATGTATGATATGCCAAAATGAAAAGTTTGACATTTATGCCTGAAACTTAACTGTTTTATGTGATGTTAGGTTAAAGGCTCAATTTGTGTTTAAAGTGTATTTTTAAAATGGCTGAAATGTAATTTAGCTGTTAGTGCTATATTTGAAAAGATAGCTGTAACATTCCATTGTCCTATTATAAGTACTGAATTCAACATCCAGTACATTGTTTATTACTTTTAAGTGAATGTAACTTGAACTGTTTACTATTTGTTTATAAACTATTTCAGTACATATTGTTGCTTTTTGAAGAAGTAAAGTGCATTGCATTTGAGTCTGTTGTTCCTAAAACAGATTAAATGCATCCATGAAAATTGCTAAGACATATAATAATTTCTTCATTAAAATTGAAGTGTTATTTTAAATGATGTTAAACAAGTTAGTTTATATGTGCATAATTATTTAACAATTTAAATGGACACTGTCTGATTATTTTTTACATATATTTTACCTTCCTAACAAGTTTGACAGAGTTTTGTTTGCAAATTTTGTTTTTCCAGTTTAGCAAATTTATTGTATCTACGATGTTTAAGTGGAGTTTAAAAATTAACCTACTACTTTGTTTGCAGTTGACTTTATACGAAGAGATGGTTTTATGTGATCATACCAAACTATATTTTGGGCTCTATTCAGAAGAAAATATCTATGGCCTTTCTGACCTAACATAAATTTTGGGAGAAAGAATGGTCTGCTATGGAAACTAATCACAAATTAATAAGCATTCTTGCCCAGAAGTTATGGAAGTGAAGATCTTATGTAAATCATCTCTCCTCTTGTGGCTGTTTACTTCATATATTCTTCACCAAAAGCAGCACTACAAAGAGTTTAATAAAGGCATGACACATTTATTTAGATTTTAACAGTGCCTATTTAATGTAAGCTGGAGCAAAACTGTAAGTGGGCAGGACAGATCCACTAGACCAAGGGTCGGCAACCTTTCAGAAGTGGTGTGCCGAGTCTTCATTTATTCACTCTAATTTAAGGTTTCGCGTGCCAGTAATACATTTTAACATTTTTAGAAGGTCTCTTTCTATACATCTATAATATATAACTAAACTATTGTTGTATGTAAAGTAAATAAGGTTTTAAAAATGTTTAAGAAGCTTCATTTAAAATTAAATTAAAATGCAGAGCTCCCTAGACCGGTGGCCAGGACCTGGGCAGTGTGAGTGCCACTGAAAATCAGCTCACGTGCTGCCTTCGGTTGCCTACCCCTGCACTAGACTGTGGCTAGTCAGAGGACAGGTTAGCAATTATATGTTCTGTTGTTGTTTTTTGGGGGGAGGGGGGCGGGGATGTTTGAGGAAGAAATCTAAATTCCTTTGTGATTATGTGAAGGAATGTTTACTGTGGATGATATTCTTCCTGAACTAACTTCAGTAATGAAGCTATTTAACTCAGTTGCTACTTTTCTTTAATACCAGAGAAGAAAGGCAAAAAAAGTGGGCCTGAAAAGTCAGTCACTTAGTGAAGGGCCACAAAATAAACTTCAGATCATGGCCTCTCTTCTTTTCAGTTGACTGACGTTTTCTCTTATCCACATGTATTTAGACTGCAATGAGCATTATTCTGGAAAGCAGGCAGGTTGGCAGTTGGAGAACTGTTGTGGGAAGCAGAAAATTCAAAATGCCTGAAGAAGCATATTGTAGCTACCAAAGAAGGTTGGATTTGCATTGAATTGTCTGGGTGACTTGCAGCAGCTGTTGGAACAGGACTCCTTGATTCAGTAACTGCTAAGAAAGGCTGTTTTGTACTGTTTAAACACAGAATTTGTGCTCCAGCATCAACTATTTCATACTACAGAGTCCCTGACTTCACTGGGTGTTTTGCCAGTGTCAAAGAGCAGTAATTATCAATAATATCAGTAAATATCAGTAATTGTCAGATTTCTTCCTCCATTAATTTTTGCCTAAATCAGTAATGGACCCAATATAAATACAGTCTTGGACTGGTGTTTAATAGTATACTGCTGCTCCAGATGCACAGAAAATCATAGTTTTGTGGATCTTAAAATAGCAACTATTTTTAAATTATAAGAAATAACTTGTTAGGCAAGTAATATCCTCTCTATAAAATATCTGGAGGCCTTCCTCTCTCAGACTATTTTTTTTTATTTGTCAGATTTTGATCTTAAGAGTTTGACAGTGTCCCTTTCACATTACTTTAATTAAATATATTTAAAATCGGTTAAGTTTAAGTATAGCAAAACTTGGGGTGTTTAGAATTGTTGTTTGTAAAAAGTCGGAAGCACTGTCTGTGTTAAGTTTGTTGTTTTCAATATTGTGGAGGTTTTACAGAAAATATTAAACTTGGTCTGTCTTCTATCAGAACTTTACTGATGTTGGCTCTCTGTTTTCTAGATAAAACTGTATTGCATCTTATTTTGCCATGGATACTCATAATAAAAGTGTTATCATAATAGTATCCAGTTATAATTTTCATATGTATTAGAATCCTAGAAATATAGAGCTGGAAGGGATTGCAGTCTCCCAGTCCATCCAACCACCAAGTACGGTATATATCTAAGGTGTTTGTCTAACATGTTCTTAAAATCCTGTAATGACAGTGATTCCACAACCTCCCTTGAAGCCTATTCCGGTACCTAACTATCCTTATAGTTACAAAGTTTTCCTCAGTATCTAAATCTAAAATCTCCCTTGCTGTAGATTAAGCCAATTACTTTTTGCCCTACCTTCAATGGACAGGGCTGTCATCTTTACAATAGCCCTTAATCGGTTTAAAGACTTATCAAGTCATACACACGTACTGTTTTCTCAAGACTAAACATGCCCAGTATTTAACCTTTCCTCATAAGTCGTTTTCTAAACTGTCTAGCATTTTTGTTGCTCTTCTCCGTCCACATCTTTTGTAAAGTGTGTCACCTAAAACAGAACAGTGCTCCAGCTGTGGCCTTACCAGTGCAGAGTAGAATAGAATAACTAGCTCCTGTGCCTTAATGTATTTTAGTATATATTTTAAATGGAATATTTTTCTTTAACAGAAAAATTAAGATCTTTGTTCAAATGGAAGAGGATAGTAAATGTAAATTTTATAATTACATTTCTATCCTAATAATGTGAACTGCACTGTAAACGTACTCATGATGGACAGATGCTGCAAGACATGATTTGGTCCTTTCTTTAGTAATGTGTTTGTACAAAAAAAGCATCTTAAGTTTCTTTCAACAAAATCCACACATGATTATATAATACAATTTTCTTCTTTTATTAGAAAAAGACTGCTGCCAGGAAGCATCCCCAAAAATAGGAAGTACAGTTTTACACAAACAAAAGGATGTGGAGGACGTGTTACCCTAAATTTTAGATGCCAATTAAATTAGCCTACAATAGCGCTTCTAATTTAACAAAAGAGTAACAAGGTTGTGGCCCGCCTGAAAGGAATTGCCAGTGTTTTACCAGGGGGCTTATCTCTGACCTGCAGAGGGCTTCCCAGAGAAAACTAGTCTTGCTAACCCCTGAAAGGACACTGATACTGACTTCTGCTCAAGGATTGACAAAAGCAGAAATTCTTTGAAAATGAAATTTATTGAACAGAAATAATTTTAAAAAAGTTTACTAAAGCAAGAAAAGATGCATAGGATTTAATAAAAAATACAATAAAGAATTATACAATAAAGTGGTGCAGCAAAATAAGACAGACTGCATAACATACCTAACACATATAGAGCAGAGGTTCTCAAACTGTGGTCTGTGAGCTCCATTCAGGTGGTCTGCGGATAGTTCCCTCTAAGATGTGTAGCCGCCCAGGCACGCACAAGAGAATGAAAGACCATCCACCTAATTAGTGGAGCTGTGAGGTGTGACTCCACTAATTAGGTGCCTGTACCCTGGAGAAAAGATGCACATGTAAGGTGAGGTGGTGGCCTTGGGGGGAATAAGGGGTAGGTGGGAGGGGACAGCGGGGGTGGGGGTAATTTGGGATGTGCAGGGCTGCGGTGGCCAGAGAAAGAGGCGACTTTCCCCACTCCAGAGCTGCGGCTGCCAGGGAGAGACGGCCCTCCTTCCCAGCTCGGGCTACTGTGGTGGGGGAGAGAGGGAGAGACCTGCCCCCCCTTCCCAGCCCAGTGGCGACCCCTCTCCTTCCCAGCCCCAGCTTGGGGGCTGCCACGGCGGGAAAGAGAGGGCACATTCATCGCATTAGAAAGGTAAGACTAGTGATATTAAATGAGTTGTGTGCTTTTATTTGTACAACAAAAACAGTTAGTTTTTTTTATATAGCACTTTTATCCAAAGCGCTTTACAATAGTTAGCTAACGGTACAAACAACATTTGGAAAGATCAATAAGTGGTCTGCTGAAACCCTCAGCAATTTTCAAGTTGTCCGTGGGGGGAAAAAAAATTGAGAACCACTGATATAGAGAATACAGTAGTTTCAATGTAACATGTATATAAAGATCCCACCTATAAAGGCTTTTAGTTTTAGCGTTACAATCTAACCCTGTACTTAATACAATGTAGTATACATGGCCTCTATATACACATAAAAAACCATCATATTCACAGATTTAAAAAGAAAACATTTACTTAACACTAACACTTAACATCCAGTGAGCACTGGCCAAGCGGACAGTGGGCAGGGGAGATCGATCCCCAGGCACTCTTAAAGAAAATAATTTGTAAATTTACTGCAGTGGTCCCCAACCTTTTTCAGCCACCGTGGACCGTGGCTGGCAGATGAGCATCCGCTGAAATGCCGCCGAGAAGCGGCAATGTCAATAGGCGTCGCTGCCAGAAATGCTGCCGACAAGCAGCGTCATCCAGAGGCGTCACCGCCGAAAATTTGCAGCATTTCAGCAGCGACGCCTCTGGAAGACGCTGCTTGTCGGCAGCATTTTGATGGATGCTCGTCTGCCGGTCAGTATACGGATGCACATAGATGGGGACCACGGAATTACTGTTACACTCACACTAAAATCCCTCTGACTCATCTTAGGTCTTTCTGGTGTGTCAGTATAAAAGACGAAGATGTCTGTGCCTGGAGAAAAGGGTCTATCTGATAATGACATTTTCCTCTATCTTTATTTAAATGTATATCATTAGGCTGAATTGCATCATTACAAACATATCCAATTCCCTGTTCTTCCATACAAGCCTCATGTTCAATGATTTTCCAAGTCTGATTTTGTTTTATTGCCAAGAATGTTTTCTGTTGATTGCATCACACTGGTGTTGACATTTAACCCAACTGATAAAATAGGAGATATCCATTCAGTTTAGGCATCAGACATCATATATGCAGTTGCTTGGTTCAATTGAGCATTGTATGTGAAGTTTACTATCTTCCACTGAGAAGATTTTTTATTTTTCAGCCTCAGTGGCATATTTCCACATTTTCTTATTTCTAGAGGTAAAATTCCACTCATTCCATCTCCTATAATATCTTGAAAGCATTTTCCTCTTTCAGTTACCAACATTTCAGTCTTAGGGATTGTCTACATGTGAAAATTAATCCAGAATAAAAGGGGGTGTGAATGTAAAGCAGATTTAACTATTCGTGATTAACTCCATGTGTGGAGGCTTTTTATCCCAGAATAAGAGTGCATTATTTCAAATTACATAAATTCAGTGACAGGTTTCAGAGTAGCAGCCGTGTTAGTATCCGCAAAAGAACTGGAGTACTTGTGGCACCTTAGAGCCTAACAAATTTATTTGAGGATAGGCTTTCGTGGGTAACAGCCCACTTCTTCGGATGTATAGAATAGAACATATATTGAGGAGATATATATACACACATACAGAGAGCATGAAAAGGTGGGAGTTGTCTTACCAATTCTGAGAGGCCAATTAAGTAAAAGAAAAAAAACCTAAGTAAATCAAGATAGCCCAGTACAGACAGTTTGATAAGAAGTGTGAGAATATTTACATGGGGAGATAGATTCAATGTTTGTAATGGCTCAGCCATTCCCAGTCTCTATTCAAGCCTAAATTGATTATATCTAGTTTGCATATCAATTCCAGCTCAACAGTTTCTCAGTGGAGTCTGTTTTTGAAGCTTTTCTGTTGCAAAATTGCCACCCACAGGTCTGTTATTGAATGACCAGACAGGTTAAAATGTTCTCCTACTGGTTTTTGAATGTTATGATTCCTGATGTCAGATGTGTCCATTAATTCTTTTGCGTAGAGACTGTCCGGTTTGGCCAATGCACATGGCAGTGGGGCATTACTGGCACATGATGGCATATCACATTGGTAGATGTGCAGTTAAACAAGCCCCTGACGGCATGGCTGATGTGATTAGGTCCTATGATGATGTCACTTGAATAGGTATGTGGACAGAATTGGCATTGGGCTTTGTTGCAAGGATAGGTTCCTGGGTCAGTGTTTTTGTTCAGTGATGTGTGGTTGCTGATGAGTATTTGCTTCAGGTTGGTGGGTTGTCTGGAAGCGAGGACAGGTCTGTCTCCCAAGATCTGTGAGAGTGAGGGATCATCTTTCAGGATAGGTTGTAGATCTTTGATGCGCTGGAGAGGCTTTAGTTGGGGGCTGAAGGTGACAGCTAGTTGTGTTCTGTTATTTTCTTTGTTGGGCCTGTCTTGGTAGGAGGTGACTGCTGGGTACTCATCTGGCTCTGTCAATCTGTTTTTTTCACTTCAGTAGGTGGGTATTTTAGTTTTAAGAGTGCTTGATAGAGATCTTGTAGGTGCTTGTCTCTGTCTGAGGGATTGGAGCAAATGCGGTTGTATCTTAGAGCTTGGCTGTAGACAATGGATCATGTGGGGTGTCCTGGATGTAAGCTGGAGGCATGTAGGTAAGTATAGCGGTGAGTAGGTTTCCAGTATAGGGTGAATTCAGTGAATTAACCCATTTTGGAATAAAACTCTCACTTTGGAATAAGAATGTCCAGCCATGGAACTAATCTGAAATAATTCCCCATGTAGACAAGTTTGAGCAAGCTGTCCTTGTCATGTAGCCAGTGTGTCATATTAGTGGGGGTATCAGTTGCATCTGTAAAAAAATCAGAAATAAAGCTGGGTGTCTTGTGTATTTTTGGTAATGAAACAACATGTCTCAGCACCTCTCCAAGTGGTCTCCTGGTTTCTGAAGAGGAGGGGGAACAGAATAGTTCCACAAATGAAGACTTTGCTGGAAGAGGAGCAGTTGCCCATCATTACTCTCTGAGCCGGTTGGAAAAGAATGATTAGAGCACTATTGCTCTGATGTCTGGGTCAGCAATGCCTTGCAGTTGACAGTCAAAAGTTGTGGAGAGGTTACGTATTATGAGATCTGAGATTGTCCTCTTCATTCCTTAGTATTATTAGGGCTATCTCCATGCCATGTCTTGGTCTGAAGTTGAATTGCAGGGTATCCAAGATGTCAGCAAAAGTCATACCTAGATGAAACATGGATACCAGTACTTTCTGAATGGTTTTGCATGAGTTGGAGATTCTCAGTCAAATGCTGGCT